CCTTTGGAAGTAATTACTCCCAGAGCATGTTATGCTAAACTCTTACTGATTTTTTGTTGGTTCATGAGAGACTGAATTATAGAAACTGCAATGATCTCTCGAACGTCACTCTGGCAGAAGATTAGCATAAACTTCTTTCACTATCGAGCACTAGCATGAATGTTGGTGGAAAAGTTCACAAGATATTCGAGAAGTTCAAAATAGTTTTCTATATAATAGAACAAGTGCATGATAATTTTACCAATCCAATAGCTAACGTTGTAATTAATATGATTTTTCAGGAAGAACACCTTCAGATTGTTAGATCAAAGAAACAGAATGGAGAGTATAGACTCACATGGGATGACTACAAGAAAATGGAGTTCACCAAATGTGTAAGTTCATAAGAGAAAACTCTGCGTAAATTTCACTTACCTTCATGCATAACAATTACTTTCGTTTCTAAAATTGATTCAATTTTATGAAGGTTATCAATGAGACACTCCGTCTTGGCAACATTGCTCGCTTTACTTTGAGGTGCGCAACAAAAGATACAGAATTCAAAGGTAAAAAGTATGCCACTATGGTTCATATATATATATAACACCTTTTAGAAAGTATTTAAAAAGGGAACTCATATTTTTTGAATCTATATTATATGTAGACCATGTAATTCCAAATGGTAGCACTGTCCTGCTCCATTTTGGTGCAGTGCATATGGATCCTTCATTGTATGAGGACCCCACGCAGTTCAATCCATGGAGATGGCTGGTAAGCTCCAAAATTTGTGAAACTAAGAAAAACACGAAGGATAAATTACGATGTCGTGCTCTTTCTCTATACCAAATTTATCAAGATTATCAAACTTCTAAGTTTATATTGAAGTTTCTATTCTTAAGAAGTCTGGGCAAACATTCTTGACAATGTAGACGTCTTTTCAGACTCTCCAGATTTCTAAACCAGATTCCAGTACAAGAATAACAGTCTTACTAATGATTATAGACGATGGCGATTTTTTTTTTAAGGAAGGATAGATACAAAATAAAGACTAAATATCAGAAAGGCACCCCCCTCCATAACTTTCAAAAATATCAGAAAACCCCCTTTAACTTTAAGACGTTGTCAGCAGAGCCGCCTAATAGCATTGACAACAATTTTTTCACATGGGTGGGTTAAATTACGAGGGGATCTTTTCCAGTGAAAATTGCGGTTCACACTTTTAGAGGTTAAATTATCAGATAAAAGCCTAAAGTGAAAGGGGGTTGCCTCGTAACCCTAAACTTAAGAGGTGTTTCCTGCTATTTTGAAAGTTACAGGGGTTTATCTGATAATCGTCCAAACTTAAAGGAGGGTTTTCTGATATTTAGCCCAAAGTAAAATCAAAAGAGTACGTAACGGCGTTTAATCGTAACTCTTGCAATATTTTACAGTCATCACCGGGCATGAAGGCTACGGATAGCTTCATGCCGTTCGGTAAAGGGCTACGCACGTGCCCGGGGGCTGATCTTGCAAGGTTGGAGATGGCGGTATTCCTTCACCATCTCATACCGAAGTTTGATTGGGAATTGGCGGAGCCTGATCATCCCATAATCACACCCCTTGTTGAATTCCCGAGAGGTCTGCTAATCAAGGTTCGAGCAGTATCTGCTTGCTAAGCTCTGGGCGTCACAGTTTTTTTTTTTTTTTTAAAGCATTGAATTTTGCAGCACGCGTGAGGTTATCCGAGAGGATACGTTAGCATATATATATATATATGTGCTCTTTGTATGGTGTTGTTTGCTCAATCGACTTCAACGTCTCTTCAATGCAACATGACAAGACGAGCCTTTGTTAACTGACTTGTTTTACAAATAACCAACGTCTTTTTAGTAACTCAGAAAAGGGAGCACTTCTGATGAGGTCTTTAGTTGGTATAAAAACGATGAGTAATTAGATTGTTGACCTCCATGAGATATCGGTACTACAGCGACAACAGTAACAACAACATCAAAGCTTTTATCCTAAATGCTTGGAGTCAGCTGTTATAACATGAATCATATTCTTTCATTCTCTTCAATTATGAGTCATCTCCTCTGTTAAATTAATCATAATCACTTAATTGATTCTAACCAAGTTCGTTTAGGTCTACCTCTAAACCTCCTGGTCCCATTAACTATAAAACTATGAGTTTTATTAACCGGTGCACTAAGAGCAATTTGTGTACACGACCAAACCATCTTAATCGATTCTCTCATATCTTATCCTCAACAGGAGCAATCTCTAATTTACTACAGATGCACTAATCGCTTATCCTATATCTTAGGGTATACCCATGAGGCCTTCGCAATATTCTCATTTTTGCTACATTTATTTTTCACTTGCCTAATACTCTGACCCAAAAAAGCATTGTTGGTCTTATAACCATCCCTTATAATTTTTTTCTTTAGTTTTATTGGCATTTTACGATCATATAAGACTCCTGAAGTACTCCTCTATTTTAACCATCTCGATTGGATTCGATGGACAGTATCATCCTCAATCTAACCATCATGACGAATAATTGATCTTAAATAGCGAAAATAATTACTTTTAGATATTTCGTGACCATAAATATGTATCATAGGCTCCTTTATTTCTTAATTTTACTAAAAATGCATTCCATATATTTTGTTTTTATTTTACTAATTCTAAAACCTTTAAATTCAAGAACTCCTCTCCATCTTTCTACTTTAGAAATTATACATCTTCTAGTTTCATCAACTAGCACTATATCATCTCTAAATAATGTACATCATCGAATTTCATCATGAATTAATGTACCTAGTGAAATGGTCAATAATTAATGCAAAAAGATAAGAACTTAAGGCCGACTCTTGCTGTAAACCTAAGGTAATAGAAATGACTTAGTCTCTCCTTCATTAGTTCTTACTCTAGTTGTCTATCCTACATATCTTTAATCACATCAATATATATACTAGATACATGTTTTTTTTCTAAAACTCACCACATCACCTCTCTAGGCACTTTATCATAATTTTTTTAGATCAGTGAAAACTATATCCAGATCATTTCTCTTCCATTTACATCTCTCCATCAACCGTCTCAGAATATCACAGTGATATTAAATTATGGTAATTAGTTCCATGTCATTTTTCTTATGTATTGTATATGACAAAAAAGACCCAGATATAAAAGATTCCTAACTTCTCCTATGCAGCTTAAAGTTGTACTTGTTCTTATGTATTACGGAACATTAAGCATTATTCATGAAAAACTCACAGTTGTTCTTATGTACTATTATGGAAAATTAAGCATTATTCATGAAAAACTACAAAACTTTGAAGCGGCCTGGCTTGACATTGTCTAACCAGGTGTTCTTTACAACCTTTGATTATGAAAATTTGTAATCGATAATAATTTGCAATATGTACATAATGCAGAAGATTTGATGTTTTCGTGCGCTAAATTTCAGAAATTCCCCCTACTTACTTGGATGATATCGGATTACCCCCAACAATTTTCTAAATACCATAAAATCCTCCTTAAGTTAGGAATTATAGGAAAACCCCGTTCAATTTTAATACATTTTTTTTCATAAAACCCCATGACACCATTAAGTGTAATGCTCGCATGGATGGGTAAAAAATTATGCAAGGTAAATATATTTGCCGGTGAACGTTATGGTTCACGCTTAGGATCATGCTTAGGATGTTTTTGATAAACGTTGGAAGTTGAAGGGCGTTGTCATAACCCCAAAACTTGAGGTGGATGTTCTGATGTTTTGATAGTTATGGGGTCTTATCTGTTAATCATCCAAAGGTAACGGGAGTTTTCTGATATTTGGCATCTTTTTATTTTGCTAGTCTAGAAGAGCGTTTTTTTAGGGGCTGTTTGGTTCGCTATTATAAGGGGTGGAAAACTCAGAAAACCCCTCCACGTCAGATTTTTAACCCTCCACGTCAGCTTTTTTGTTTCCGTCCATTTCTTTGTGCCGCTTTGGTTCGCTCGAATGGAAGAGGGAAAACTCTGCTGAAATTGCGGCCAACTAAGATTTTTTCCCCTCTCCGATTTCCTTCCCCAACCAAGTGAAATTGATGAAAACTCTGCCACGTCAGATTTTTTTCCTTCTCTGCTTTGTTTACAAAAGTTTTCCTTTTTTTCTATGCGAACCAAACACAAGAAAAATAAATACATTGGTTTCCCACCATTTTTTATGTGCGAACCAAAGCAAAACAATCTATTTCTTGGAAAAGTTTGAAAAACTCAAAACTTGTGTTTCTTTACATGGAATTGTATTTCTCTATATCAAGGAAACGAACCAAACAGCCCCTAAGGATGGATTATCACAAAGATAATCCAGCCAGCTAAATTAACAAAAAAAGGTTGTTACAAAAGAAATATACACACCCCCAACGAACAGTGTGTACTAACATTCATGATCAAGATTACAAAGCAAAAGTAACCCCAGCACAAGTCTGTATATAGCTATAGGTCTCTCTCACAAAAAGAAGACCATGATCAAAAACCAAAAACTAGAAGATTCACAGCTAACTAAAAAGTTTTAAAACACCACCACCAGATAAGCTCAAAACAACACCTGGATTGAATGTGCATCATTCTAGCTGGATCACCTCATCGCCCATAGCTCTGTTCTGTCTTCTATCTGCATCAATAGCTTGCATTCTATCAGCATTCCTTTTCCTCCTCCTTTCTTGTAGTCTGATAGCTCGAGCAGAGATTTTTTTAGAACCTAACCAAAATGATGAGAAGGTCATAATTTTGTTCAAAAGCTCAAGAGATCTTTTCCTTTTATTAGAAAAAAGTCTATCATTTCGTTCCTGCCATATACACCAAACAAGAGAACAAATGAAGACATCTCTTTTCATTTTGCCATTATCAATCTCTCCTGCTTTCAAATTATGCCACATCTCTTTCAGAGAATTCCAACTAAAACCATCTTCAATTTTCAACTTGAACAGAATTGATCTCCATATAGAGTAAACAAACTCACACTTAATGAATAAGTGCGTATGACTTTCTTCCAGCTTTGAACATAAGCAGCAAATTTTTTCTAAGTGTATTCCTTTTTTTTCCAACACATCTTTTGTGTTCAAATTAACCATGCCTGAAAGCCAGCCATACAAGAAATTTTACTTTCAAAGGGATAGGCAACTTCCATATATCTGCATAATCACACCTCAGACCTCCATCAATTAAAAAAAGATAATAAGATTTCACTGTGAAGTCCCCTTTCAATTCCCACAACCATTTGACCTCCATCAATTAAAAAAAGATAATAAGATTTCACTGTGAAGTCCCCTTTCAATTCCCACAACCATTTTCTTTTATCCTCTTTTTGCTCTAAACATATGGAATTAAGTAAATTCATTAAAGAGAAATACTGTGACACTAAAGTCCCTGTTAATTTTCTTTTAAATTGTAAATCTCATCTCCAGGTATCATTTTCTTTCTTTCTCATACTACTCACAGTAGCAAAAGGAGAGGATGTATTAACAAATAAGGATGGGTATATGGCTACAAGAGTATGTGAATCTAACCATTTATCAAGCCAAAATAAAGTTTGATTTCCTTCTCCAACATCCACTTGGGAACTGCAAATAAAGATATCCACATTAGTAAAAAAATTTCTCCAAAAGTGAGATAGATAAACTCTTCTAGAGTAAAAATATTCAGACCAATTGTTTTCAAAATATTTGTAAAAGCTAAAAAAATATTCAGACCAATTGTTTTCAAAATATTTGTAAAAGCTAATTTGTTTCCACAGACTGAGTTTTCTATCAAACCATTTCCAAATCCTTTTCAAAATATTTGTAAAAGCTAATTTGTTTCCACAGACTGAGTTTTCTATCAAACCATTTCCAAATCTATTTTCCTAACAAGGCTTTATTCATAATTCTCAAATTGATAATCCCCAAACCACCACAGTATTTAGGTTTACAAACCTCTTCCCATTTAACCAAGTTGGAAAATCCTTTGTGATCCAAAGATCCAATCCATAAAAATCTTCTTCTCATTTTATCAATTTTATCAATAATCCAAGAAGGAAATAAGAAGAAGGAAAGCCAAAAAAGTGGCATAGAGGAAAGGACTGAGTTAACTAAAACTAGTCTACCTCCTCTTGATAATGTCTTTCCCTTCCATAATGCTAATCTCCTTTCTATTTTCTCAATTAAAGGAGACCAATCATCTTTTTTTAACTTTCTAGGCCTTAAAGGTACACCCAGATAAGTAATAGGAAATTTTCCACTTTTACAATTCAACACAGTGGCCAGATTCTGTTGTAAATCTTCATTATTCTCAAGAGCTATAAGGACACTCTTATTAAAATTTATTTTTAAGTCTGAAGCAAGTTCAAAGCAATATAAAATCAGCTTCAAAACTGTCAATTGCTCTCTATTATTCTTGCAAAAGATCAAGGTATCATCTGCATATTGAAGACAAAAGACCTTATGAGTCATATTAATTGGACCTAATCCTTCAATAAGTTGAGATTCAACTGCTAAGGATAACATTCTAGTAAATGTATCAGCAGCCAGCACAAAAAGCAAAGGTGAAAGAGGGTCTCCTTGTCTAACACCTCTTTTGGACATAATCCATTTCCCTGGTTTATCATTGATTTTGATAGCTGACATGCCTTTATTTAAGCACATATTTACCCAGTTAATCCATTTTTCACCAATTTTTTTTGCTTTCAACACCTCCAAAATAAAATTCCAGTCTAACATATAGTCTAGGAAAAATTCCTCAAGGACCCAAAATATGGGACCAATAGAGGGGACAAGTGAGGTGTTTCCCTTTTATTGGATAATGAGTTGATCATCATTAATGATGGCCAACTCCTTATCCAATAGGAGGGAGACACCTCACTTGTCCCCTCTATTGGTCCCATATTTTTGGTCCCTGTAGCAAAGCTCATAGTCTAGAAGAGCGTTGATGTCGCTTCAGATGGCCTAGGCCCATTTCCTGACCCTTTAGGCCCTATAGGCATCCTAATGTGGTCCATTAAAGCCCAACTTCATCTCAATCAAAACACCCAGCTTTCCGTTCTTCGCTCTAGCAGCAGGCCTCCACGAGTACGATCAATCATAAACCCTAACGAAGCGAGGGAAAAAAAGGAGATAATTTTCAAGAAATTATACGAAATCGGAGCTCGAATTAGCCGCGATGAGTCGTTACGACGGCCGCTCCGGCGACCCCGCATCCTACCGCGACCGCAGAAGGTAAACAAATCCCTCAAAACCCTAAACCCTGATTCGCAAATTCTCACAAACCCTAAAGTTCGTTCCTTTTTTGTGTCAGCGATTACGGGAAGGGATTCAACCCCTCAGGCAGGAGAGAGACTTTGTCTCTCGCCGCTTCTGACCTTGACGGATTGACCCCTTTTGAAAAGAACTTCTATGTTGAGTCTCCGTTGGTGACCGCCATGACCGAGGATGAGGTTGAGGAGTATCGAAAGAAGAGGGAAATTACGGTTGAGGGTAGCGATGTTCCGAAGCCCATTAGAGAGTTTCGGGATGTTGGGTTTCCCGGTATGTGAATTGTCTAGATTTGTTTCTAGGGTTTTAGCAGTAATTCGATTGGTTTTGTTCATTATTATCTCCTTTTTAAGATTTTTGCTTCAACATTTTTTTGTTGATTTTGCCTATTCATTAGTCCTATTTTTCCATATACTAGGATTTATGCACGTGCAATGCACGTGATTAAATATTTTGATCAAGTATTTTTGACTTATTTCTTTACTAAAATTTGTTTCTCAGTTTCACTTTGATTGTTTTTCTCACTTATGTTTTCAAACTTTACTATTGTGATTATTATTATTTTTGATATTTGTTTGAATGGGCTACACCAAATTTAAAAATTTTATGTAATAATTGAATTGACAAAAAATAACTATAATCTAAAACTAATTTGAATTTTCGCGTTATTTAGATCGGCATGAAACCAAGTTTGGCTTAAGAAGGTATAATGTTGTAAAAGTAAAAAACACTTGAAAAGATAATGTTATAAAGGAAGGATGAATAATTAAAGCCAATAAGACAAGATGATTAATTATAAGTGAGCTAGAATGAAAGTAAAGAGAATATAAATTTTATTACTAATCACTGATAGACTTTAGAAAAAAAATCATAAAATAAAGATTAATGCTAATTCTATTACACTTTTATATGATAAAAGCATACACATAACCATATAAAAAAATCAAAAGAGTTCATGAAAATCACTTCTAAAGATTCCTGATTTTACTCAAAAAATTAAGCTATTTTAAAAATATTAAATAATTAAATTTGTGTTGTATTTATAAAGAGCCTTGATGAAGATGTTTTGTTTTAGCAACTTGTTCTGAATGAGCAATGCATATTAGCTTTAAAGTATAATATTTTTTTATCGTGTTATATGGATGTTTGCTCGGTTTGTATCTCTCTCTTATTTCTTCAATAAGTTGATATATTATTAACACAATTTACGATGACATGCATATCTTTCATACAAATTAGAGACAGGTATAAGATGAATTTTATATTTAGTGGCAATACAAATTTTAGTTGTAAAATATGTTATCTTCATATTTAAAGATCTTGAACTCTGACAGTACTATTACATGCTTATCTTTGATCGTGTTCTTAAAAATTGATCTTTCGTTGATAGTCATATCCCTAAATAAGGATACTTGCAGAGTCGTGCCACTATATAGAGAAAAAATATCAATTTTAATTTTTTTACTTACACTATGGTAACTAAGTATCATGTGCATATTTTTTGTCCATTATAGTGATTTTTCTCATCTTATCTAGTTTATTATATCTCGTAATGTAGTTGATCAATGATTTCACTTTAGTTTCTATTGCAAGATTATTTATATGAAATTTTATATTAAGTTTATGATTCCTTCAGTATTTTTAGAATAAAGTATGAAAATTTATAAGTACTTACTATTTGTTTTTGTACTTTTCATGAATAATGTTTTTATAGTTGGGACATAATTGTTTAATATGTTCTTCAAGGAGAACTCGATTAGTGTTTCTTTGCTCGATATGCTTTTTATCAATATCAATTCAGGTGATTCATGAATGTTTTTGAATTTTGAGTTTATTTCCTTCACTTCTCCATTTGAAATGAAAACAACTTAGTTCTTTTAAAGGATATCTCTGAACTTTCTGATAGTTTTTCCATACATAACTCCTTATATTTTTTTACTTTATAAATAAATATTATCAACATTAGAGAAATATGTTTATACATTTGCAGAGTCGTGGCACTATATAAAGAAAAAAATATCAATTTTAATTTTTTTACTTACACTATGGTAACTAAGTATCATGTGCATATTTTTTGTCCATTATAGTGATTTTTCTCATCTTATTTAGTTTATTATATCTCGCAATGTAGTTGATCAATGACTTCACTTTAGTTTCTATTGTAAGATTATTTATATGAAATTTTATATTAAGTATATGATTCCTTCAGTATTTTTAGAATAAAGTATGAAAATTTATAAGTACTTACTATTTGTTCTTGTACTTTTCATGAATAATGTTTTTTTAGTTGGGACATAATTGTTCGATATGTTCTTCAAGGAGAACTCGGTTAGTGCTTCTTTGCTCGATATGTTTTTTATCAATATCAATTTAGGTGATTCATGAATGTTTCTGAATTTTGAGTTTATTTCCTTCACTTCTCCATTTGAAATAAAAACAACTTAGTTCTTTTAAATGATATCTCTGAACTTTCTGATAGTTTTTTCATACATAACTCCTTATATTTTTTTACTTTATAAATAAATATTATCAACATTAGAGATATATGTTTATACATTATAATCAATTAATGCTAACCTATTATATCTTAATGTGATAATATCAAACATTTCCTTTTTTTTTGCCAAAATTTAGCATTTTTGTGATTTAAACTTTTGAGGGTGTGTTTTATAATTTTTAAACTTTGATAGTATTTTATAAAAATTTTAAATTTTAAGTTGGGCGCTTATAATTTTTATGTTTCATGTATTGGTGATAAGTTTTTAAATGTTAGTATATTTCTCGTAACTCTAAAAATTTGAAGGTATTTTTATAATTACTAAAATTTTGGGTTGGTTTTTAAAATTTTAGATTTTTAGCAATCTACTGATAATTTCTAAATTTGATGTGTATCAGTTATAAGTTTTAAAATTTCAAAAATTTTTAATATTTTTTTACTTTTGATAGAGTTTTTGTAATTTTTGTACATTTGAGGTTATTTTTTTTACTAATTTTAAATTTCTATGTGCCTAATGGTAATCCCTGGAATCCATCTATATTGTTTTTAAGTTTTGAAATCTCTGAATTTTAGAATGTTTTTTTTGTAATTTAAACATGGCTAAATGACACTTATATACCCTATTGTTTTGCTCTTGTAGTAGTTATATACCCTAAGTTATAAAACATAGCAAAAAGTTCCCTGAGTTGGTGACTGTTTAAATTTAGCTAATGGTGTTAAAAAATATATGAAAGGATAATAATGCTCCTTAAAAATTAACCCCAGCAACATAGTGAAAGCTCTTATTTTCTACTGTTACCCATATTAAAGAGGAAGAAGAAGTTAGAGGCCACGAAAAGAAGATGACGATGATGAAAACAATCTAATTTGTCGGGGGTGGGGGTGGGGTGGGGTAGGTAATACAGTAAATAATACAATAAATAAGGATAAGATGTATTCAAGTTGGTCATAGATCCAGCACGTGGGAATATTCCAGAGAATATTCTCACATCTAGTTAACAGAAGGTACCAACTTGCAAATTTTTGCCAACTCAGGGTATGTTTTTGCTATATTTTGTAACTTAGGGTGTTTAACTGCTTCAAGAGTAAAACACATAGGGTATATAAATGTAATTTAGCCTTTAAACTTTTAAGATCGTTTCTATAATTTTTAAAATGTTAAGGGTGTTAATTACAAGTTTTAAATTTTTAGATATCATGTTTGTTTTTAAGTTTTAAAAAGTCAGTGTGTTTTGTGTAATTTTAAACTTTTAAGGCTATTATATGCATTTTTTTGAATCTTTTGGGTATTTTATAATACTTCATGTATTATAATATGTTATCTACGTATAATTTTTTAATCTTATTTTTTTTTATATTTTTGAGTTATAGGTAGTTCATATGGAGTTAATATAGGATATAATTAGTATTTGGATAGATTAAGATTTAAGTGAAATATTCAAAATAACTTTTTTTAAATTGTTGACCTAAGTGAAATATTCAAAATAACTTTTTTTAAATTGTTGACCTATAGATAGTTCACGTGGAATTAGATAATGATTAAAATTAGAATATATTAGGATAACAATGTAATATTCAAAAGAAGCTAAGGGTAACACTGACCATAGAAAGATTTTCCCGAACTCGTGCTTTTAAAGGGAGTATGATATAATGAAAAAGCTTGAGAAAACACATTACAAAAAGAAGCTTCTGCCTACCCATATAAATTACAACACTAGAAGCAAGGAAACCCAAAAGAGATGTGCCTTTTGTCCCTGAATATACAGAGGAGATTGCTGCATAACCCGGCACCATATCGTACTTGCCCGATGCGGCTATGTTGGAACTAGCACCTCGATCTGGTTTGTAGGGTCCCTTCTGTCATTCAGAATATAATTTTAGTCTTAATGATGCTGTCCAATGTTTTTGTTGTTATGTACATTCTATTGCACCTAGTAGCTACTATCATTTTGTTTGATAATTGCAAATTAGTTAATAAGAATATTATTTTATTGAATTGAATTAAGCATAGGAAATATAGTGATTCCTTGCCAATTATGCTGTGCTATCTTTTGTTTAGACTTTTCTCTGTTCTGGAGGATAAGGTAGTTGGACTATGACTGATTAACGTTCAAGGTTTACATCATGCTCTCATCCTGGTTTACAAACCATGGCTAGATATCAGATGCATTTCATAGAGGTTTGGTATCTGCCTGGTAATTGTTATACAGATTTTGTCAGTTTTTCGGAGCTAATTAGGATTTACTTCGTCTTCTGAGCACTTTTTTGCAGAAAAAGGTTTAGATGATGATTAATTGGTAGTTGATACTTGGTTCTCATTTTTTACTCTTGTCATTTGTGATTTACACTATTTAGTTTATAACTTTTCGGCTTGTATGTCACTGGTGCTAACTAGAACGATATTTCTCTGTCCATTGTCAATTAGTTTGCATATGCTTGTTTTAAATTTGTGGTGTAGCCCATGAGCTGACTCTACTTCACCCCTCTCTAATGAACAAACATTTTCTTGAAGAAAACATGGAGTTTGTTTTCAATATTTTCTTCCATTTTTTTCTAGAAGGAATCCTATAACATCACAAGCTCCATCTTCACATACAACTAGTTTTCTGTCCTTGTCATTGCACACAAAACAAAAGAACGAAAAAATAAAAAATAAAAGAATAATCTACCTGACCTACATTCTCTTGTTGTTGTGACTTCCTATATCTATCTTCATGGTGACATAGCAATGACAGTTTCACTTGCTGGCATGTCAATGAACGGAGCACTGTGAACT